ATCGGGAAAATAAAAAGAAGTCATACCGTGGTAAGAAACCTGATACTAGTGATAATCATTTAGTGAATAACCACGAAAGTCTTAAAATCTATATAGCAAACCGGTACGGGCCGGAATGTGTAAAAACAATACGTCAACTAGAGCGTGCGCGAAAAAAGCGGGAGTGTCTACGGGAGTCTATTGTTTTCTTAACTAAGTGCCGGGACAATAATGTTATACCAGTATGTGTTAATATTAGGCCACGGAAAGACATTTACGGCTCCGCGCACATTCTGTATAAAGCGAGCATTAAACTGCTTCATCGTTTGATACGTAACAACCGTTACATGTTTGAAAAAGTGTCGTGTGAGTTATATCTGTTACATCTGGAATGCAGTGTTCGGTTAAGTAAAAATGATTTCGAGTTATGTGATCGTGTTACGTTTCTACAAGCGCAGCGTACTGCTGAGCTGTGTGCATTAAATCACGAAAATAAGTTTTCAACTTTGATTCGTAAACAACAACCGGTAAGTAAGTACCATGATAACTCGAAAGGAACTCGAACGGTAATAAACCTGTCTAACAAGGTACTGACTGAACCAGCAATTAACGCCCTGGAAAAAGGATTAAATTTCGCTCCTACCCCAACGCGCATTCCAATTGAAAAAGTCATATGTGGTGTTGAAGAAGCCATTGTGTGTAATAGGGTGCCAGCTAGTGATGCTGAAACCTTACGTCAAGACGTGGCTGTAGCCTTGCGACACGCTCGTCTACCACCAAAAAACATGAGTACTCAGGAACTGATGGCTGTAAAAGAACTTAGGGCTGATACAACAATTATAGTACTGAAGGCAGACAAGGGAAACGCCACTGTGATTATGGACGTTGAAGAATACGACCGTAAAATAAAAGCTTTACTGGAGGATGGCATGACATACAAACATGTAACATACAACCCGACTGCCAGAGTGAAACGACAGACTGATGCCATTATTACTGAATGTAGGAGCGCTATCCCAGTTGATATTGAAAAACAACTATTACGTCCACGTATCGTCCAACCGCCGAGGCTTTATGGTTTGCCAAAGATACACAAAACTAACGTACCATTACGACCAATAGTGAGTCAGATAGACTCACCCACGTTTGAATTGGCAAAATATGTGTCTCGTACACTAACACCTCTAGTAGGCACAACGAACTCTTTTGTGAAGGACTCCAGGCATTTCATTGAGATCCTAAACAGTACCACAGTTAACGAGAATGAGACAATGGTTAGTTATGACGTTGAGTCTCTTTTCACAAACGTACCAATAAAGGAGTGCATCGACGTTATCAAAGTGAAACTTCAAGAAAATAACATCCCAATGGAGATTGCTCAATTACTTGAACATTGCTTAAACACGAGCTACTTCCTGTATAATGGCCAATACTACCTTCAGATTGATGGTGTAGCGATGGGCAGTCCCGTTGCTCCCGTTGTTGCCAACATTTGGATGGAACACTATGAACACGCCGCCATTCTGTCAGCACCATCAACAATAAAATTATGGAAGAGGTATGTTGATGACGTATTTTGCATAATGGAAGGAAAGGAGCAACATATACAAAATTATTTAGCACGTCTTAATAACACCCATAACAAAATGAAGTTCACATGTGAAATTGAGAAAAATCGCGCGCTTGCATTTTTGGATGTATTGGTCAAAGTCCGACAAGACGGTTCACTCGGTCATTCTGTGTACAGTTTGGGGTGTGTTAGGGGCTCGGTTAGGGGGCCGGTAGGGGGTCAGTTGGGGGTCGTTTAGGGGTAGGTTAGGGGGCCGGTTGGGGTTCGGTTGGGGGTTGGTTAGGGGGCCGTTTAGGGTGCCGGTTGGGGTCAGTTAGTTGGCTGGTTAGGGGATCGGTTAGTGGGTCGGTTAAGGGTTTGGTTAGGGAGTGGGTTAGGGGCGGGTTAGGGGATGGACCCCCTAACTGACCCCTTAACCGACCCCCTACCTATCCCCAACCAGCCCCCTAACCGACCCCTATCCGTTCCCTAATCGACCCCCTAACCGAACCCCAACCGACCACTTAACCGGTCCCCAACCGACTCCCTAACCGACCCCCTACCGACACCTAACCGATCCCCAAACCGACCTCCAACCGGACCCCCTAATCGAGCCCCTATCTGAGCCCCTAACTGAACCCCCAACCGGCACCCTAACCGACCCCCAACCTTCGTGGTGGTATTATATGTGAAGAACTACATACAAAAAATATATGTAATTAGATTGAAGTCGTTGTAAATGACGAAGTAAATGCAAGTGATCAATTACTTTTTGCAAAGAGCATCTATTATATGTATGTATGTGTATATGTGTGTGAGTGTGTGTGTGTGTGTGTTTGTGTGCGTGTGTGTGCGTGCGTGCGTGCGTGCGTACGTGCGTGCGTCCGTGCGTGCGTGCGAGCCTGCGTGCGTGCGTGCGTGCCTGCGTGCGTGCGTGCGTGCGTCCGTGTGTGTAAAGCGGAACGTTCAAAAAATTAAGTATGAAATTATTTGATTTTTAATTCGGGACTTAATCACGTATAAACATATTTTATTTACCTCGACGTTTCGGACATATTGCAACGTCCATGGTCTCGCAGGGACTGAAGAGGCGGGTGTCAGCATCTTCTAGTTGTGCGAGTTTTTCTAACTACCCGCACTTTATCTTCATTACTTATTTGTGCACTAGGGTTCTCACTACACCGACACACAACACTCACCACATCTTAAATACTCGTATTCAATGCAGTAGAAGCACATTTGCAGGTGGCAACAGTGCATGGTATTGTCAAAGACGTCAAAGTCATCTTTTCGAGGTTATAACTTAGAGTAGCAGGGTTCTAGGGTTATAGCCGCCATTTTGCGGTTGGTTTAAATTGCACATTTGCATCCTTTATAGGCCGAGTAGATAGGGATAACGTATCGCGTGAGCGGCTAATTTGTGTTGTGAACGTGTTATGAATGGCATTTACACGTCTATACAGTATTCGTCATGTACAGGAATATTAATAATAATTATACGTACTTCGTGCTCTGAAGTATGGTTGTATTGGTTTAACAGTTTTTTTCTGGTAAAACTGAATATTTAAAACTTCCTTTTCAAGATATGTATTGTGGAAGGAAATGCTTTGAAGGAAATTGTTGGTTTCCACATGTCGCGACAAGTATACTAATAAAGTATTTTGTAATTTGTATTTGTATTTTGTATTTTAAATACACCCCATGAAAGTATTTTGTATTTTGTATTTCAAATACACCTCAAGAAAGTATTTGGTATTTTGTATTTTAAATACATTTAAGGAAGTATTTTGTAATTTGTATTTCAATTAAGATGTAGCATGTATTTTGCCCAGCCCTGGCTGTGGTATCTGCTTACAGAGCGTGAAGTGTGTGTATTAATTTTATTATACAATAGCAACATCGTTTAATTCTACATAAGCAAACAAATGAGGTTAAAATTTAGGAAGTGACTTACTGATTATTACTAATTATAAGTTTCTTTCTCGGTATGAGTCCTTTTTATTTTTCCGATTTTTCGGAAGGATTACACACTCTATGTTACGGATTGACTGGCCAGTGGCAGATGACAGCTGTGTCTATCACAATTCTATATTCTATATAGGTTATTTACTCGATGCTGAAGTCGAAGCATTTTTGTTTTTATTATTGTAAGCACTAAGCACCGGATTCCACGCACTGAATAGTTTATATCCATCTTCACGGTTAAACGTTTGGCGTTTTATGATCTCGATGGTCGACCATATGAAGGAGCACATCCGAGAAGTATAAAACAATGATGCACAGAAGTCGCTGTCGATCGATGACAACCTTGGTTCCGAAATATTGGAAATATAAATAGAAATCATACCGCGATGAGAAATCTGTAATTAATGCATCAGTTAGTGAACAACCACGAAAGTCGTAAAAATCTATGGTCAACACTTGGTTTTAAAAAGTGATCCTTAAAAGCTTTTTCCTGTTTTTACTGAAAGAAATCCTAAATATGATATCTAGTGACAGGACGAACATGTCGTGTGTCGTGCTCCTGGTGGTCACCAACACGCCTAATTACAACAGTTGCAGTGCCACTCAGACTGACACTGCACCCGTCAATATGAGACATAAAGCTTGACAAGTTATATATGCCTGAAGTTTCACCAGCACCCTTACCCTTCAAACAGGAACGCAGTAATGTGGAACAGATTACTGCTTGGAGGCAGAAATAGGTACGGTATTTCAGATGATCAGGCATTTCAACCTTTCTCCTCCATCAGGGAGCCAGAAACTGGTGGCGGAGAAGTCCGAGTATACCCAGGCCGTATACCGGGTGCGGGAGAAACATTCGTAACGGTTGGATGCGTAGGCGAGCAAACAGTTGCCGACCTTATGATGTCGGCACTTGAAAGGTTCGGCCTGGACGCTGATAACGCTGTTGCCGACTACCGCTGCTCCGAGATCCTGCTGGACCGGGGAGGTACTACAAACACATGTAATTAATACATTTTACTTATATATTTTTAATAATGTAGCATAAAGCTATGTCAAGAAGTTGCTTATTCTTATTGATTTTTCCAGAATATTGCTGTTGAAGAATTGCTTTTTTATTTATCCTCCATTACCGAACGTTTAAAACTGTGGTCGCTAGATGAGGAAGCCCCGTTAGAAATAATTTGGGAAGCGGACATTTTTAAACTGGTTCTAGTCTGGGTTTTCTGATTAATGCTTCAGCGATTATTTCGTTTCCCTGGCACTCATATTACAGAATTATCTCTAATCTGAGACCCGATAATTGATGTGGTGTTGTGACCCATCACATTTTCCTTTTAATGGTCCATATTTCTTTGATTCCACAGAATTTGTGCTCGATTCCAAAATTTGCTTGTTACCGGAAATATATTTTGAAAGACGATATTTACGATCAATTCGTTTTTGAAATCCAGTGTCAGAAAGGGTGCTAGAAGAAGAAGAGCGTCCATGGCGCATCATAGTCCGATTAGCTCGTGAATCAGTGCGGCGGATGGAGCTGGCACGGTTTTACCTGCAGCCGCGGCGGGACCCGCACGGTCCCACACTCGCGCTTTTCGTCGCCTCACTACCTGCTAGCCTCAACCAGCGGCAATACGAGCAGATACTCGTCAACCTGCTTGGAGAAGGTAACACTCGCTGCACCTTTCACCAACCATGTACCGCTAAATCTAAAGAATAAACTGGTCATCCACATTTTAATGCAATGGTGTCTCCAGCTTATGGCAAATGACAACTGGATTTACAAATCCCTGGTTTGTCCTTGTGCAGAAAACAAATTTACATCAATCGGGCCGATCTACTACGAGTACGGGTCGATGGTGATCACATATGAAGACGCCAACAAGGCGGTGCGCGCGCTGTATGCCCTCAGAGATGCTAAGCATGAGGACAAGCCTTTATTAGGTAAGTGTATCAACAAGGTCCTTCTTCTGGTAGCCAATTAATTTTGCAATGATATTCTTAGCATAGCAAACAATTATCTGTCTTTATACAGCTCTAGTTGTACCCGGTATATGCGTTACAAAGCCAGTGAAAGAAAAAGCTGTTTACCTTTGATTCTCTGTAAGAAATGGCCTTAACCGTCTCTTTAGAGGAGTCACTCAGAAGTGGAATCTAATATTTCAGAAACTTTTCATGGTTTTATCTCAATTGGACGTAAATTAATGGAATGCATACAGGATAAACATATAAATATTCATTTAAATTGTGAATAATCCGGCTCGAAGGATCATTAAAAATTATCTAAAAAAAAAAAACAGAATTACCGCTCTTAAGTTTTTGGATAAATTATCATTATGTTAATGGAAATGGTGCACATCATTCTGACTCAACATACTATCTCCCAGTGATGCTGCTACCCAGCATTGAACCGTCAATGGTCCCAGCGGGCGTGAAACCGCTGCTAGTGTTCGTGAACGTCAAGTCCGGTGGTTGCCAGGGTCTGGAGCTCATATCTTCTTTCCGGAAGCTCCTCAACCCCTATCAGGTGTTCGACCTGGAAAACGGGGGACCCTTACCTGGGTGAGTTTACAGGATCTTCCATTAAAATAATTATATCTAGCCTAACATCTATATAATCGATATATGAAAGACTCAAATAAGTTTGGTTTGTTGTGATGTATCAACATTGACTTACAAATAAATGGACGACGGGTCTAATACAAAAACCACGAAAAAAATGTCCCAAGTCAACCTATTCGAAATTTAAATTGTAATGTCATCGCAGTATCGCGCTGTCAGTCGAACAAATGAAGACTAAAGCGGAGTTTGGCGCTCTGTGTACGATTTTAGCGCCTTACAAGTGCGGACACTTTTTAGCGCGGACCCGACGTCCATATAATTGTAAGTCAATGTGTATCAATATTTCTTGTGGAAGGATTGGTCAATTAATTTAAACACGCGCTGTTATAAAATAATTCTTTCTTTTTCGTAATTTTTTAACACGTTTTGAATCGATCCAAATCAATAATTTAAACAAACATCAAACATTGCTAAAATTAAATCTTCATTATTTGTGCAGGCTTTACGTGTTTCGCCACATTCCGAATTACAAGATCCTGGTGTGCGGTGGGGACGGCACCATAGGTTGGGTGCTACAGTGCCTCGACAATGTCGGTCAAGACTCGCAGTGCTCCAACCCGCCTTGCGCCATCGTGCCACTCGGCACTGGTAAGTTGTTTGCAAAAAAAGTACATAATTTTCAAGAAACCTTGCAAAACAAAGAGACAAACTAAACAATTCAGAAGCTAATAATCAACTTCTATGGTCAATGTACAAAAATCAAAAACACATCTCCGGTCCAACAGCAAAATGGCGTTTCAACCTCAAAATCCAGAAGTCAAGAAATTAGGTGTTCGCAACAATGCCTTCAAAATATCTCTGTTTATATCATTACCGTGGTAGTCATAGTATAGAATCTGCCATGTATGAACACAAAGGTTAATAATTGTTAGTAATAAAAGCCGGTTGATTATTAGCGTGTGGCGGCACACAGCATCGCGATCATCTGATTATCGGTATTAGTCTGACACGTTGTTGGTATTACACCAGGAAATGATCTCGCCCGTGTCCTACGCTGGGGCTCGGGGTACACGGGGTGCGAGGACCCGCTATCGCTTTTACGCGATGTCATCGACGCGGAGGAGATTCGGCTTGACCGCTGGACCGTCGTCTTCCACCCCGAGGACAAACAGGATGAAAGCAAGGATATGACCAAGCAATTGCCAAGTTAGTACGCCAATACCCCATTCACACAAGCTACAACCTACAAAAATAATCACGGTGAAGATTAGTCCAGGGTTTCTTCAGTTGATCAATAAGTTTGGGCACATATATTTACGTCATGCTTGCACGTACAGTTTTCTTGGTTCACCTAAACCATCACTAACACCTTTATACCAATCCTGATCTGTTCGACGATAGATTTTCATAACACGATCGACTGTGTGTTTGCAGTGGCAATAACGCAGCTGGGAGCTCAGAACGAGGACAACTCACAGATCTTGGTAATGAACAACTACTTCGGTATCGGCATCGACGCCGACCTCTGCCTCGACTTCCACAATGCGAGGGAGGAGAACCCCAACAAATTCAATAGCAGGTCAGTTTCATTCACCATCATCAGCATTAAACCTGGCACGTCATCATTCGACCTTTCGATTACTTGATCCAGATACTGCTCCCAAGTTGTCAACCCATTGGCTGGAAAGCGTCTGGAATGTACGTTTACTTACTTTTGGGATAATTGACATATCTGTTGCAGCAGACATCAATCTAAAGACATCATCAGCTGTTGCTGCGAAGTGTCAATACCTTATCTCATGGCAGACTTTGTGGGAGTAGGATAACTATCCCACTTCTGAAACTTAGACCACGTTTGTGATGTATCATTTCAAAATTTCCAGATTACGTAACAAGGGCGTGTACGTGAAGATGGGTCTACGTAAAATGGTGGGCCGCAAAATGTGCAAGGACTTGCACAAGGCTGTCAAGCTGGAGGTCGACGGCAAGCCAGTGGAGCTACCTGCCGTCGAGGGCATCATTATTTTGAATATACTCAGGTAAATTATACATTGAAATCCCTGACGATTACGATACAGCTGTTATATTAAAATCGTGAGTATGGGTGTCCAACCCGTCGCATATGGTTATTGTAGTTCCCATTGAATTTCCTAAAAGTTAAGCCATTTCTGATGCTCACAGATGACATAATTTGTACTATTCCATTGTTTTAGGAGAATTCCACTGCTTGTATCTAGTTACATTTGGATTGAATTATATGAGTTTAACACTGTTATTAAGAACTAATATTTTATTTAGCTGGGGATCCGGAGCGAACCCATGGGGTCCAGAGAAGGATGACCAGTTCAACAAACCGAACCACTGGGATGGCATGCTAGAGGTGGTGGGCGTCACTGGCGTCGTTCACCTCGGCCAGATTCAGTCGGGGCTGCGGGGCGCCATGCGGATAGCGCAGGTAACTCATATTCATTACATATTTGAGATCCATGGTCCATCTTTTTACGAATTCAGTCTTCTTCTTCCTGTGGGTACTTTTTGCAACGATGTGATTCTAACGTGATACGTCTCCTGCTACCATTATTGGTTACATTAACTACTAAAATACCATGACCGTCTAAAAAACTTCCCGAAGTTTGTTCACCGGAAAATCTCCCAATATTTAACCATAACTATGTGAAACTCGGCTATAAAGGTATTTTCATCACACTAACACGTCCTAGTATCATTAAAGCCATGGTCGTGTAATGAAAATAAAAAAGGTCCGAGGGTCTTATTTAAGGCATTACAGTCAAGTTAGCGTACATGCAATCATACTATATATGTTCAAGTGTAATGAAAAACATTGTATGTTTCACGGGCGGTACGAGAATTACGAACCTCGACTCCGAGAGCCCTCAGTCTTCGACTTCGGGGAGAGACCAAAAAGTAACGAGAATAGACACTTTCCGCCCCTCCCTAGCTTTAGATACCGCACCACGCCCCGCACATTGACGGTCACATTGACTGAACGACAACGAGACTGGCGGCAAGCCGTTTTCGCGCTGAAACGTCTTTGATATTTGAATATAGTCTTCATATATGCATTACAAAACTTGTACATTAATATATAACATTATTGTACGTTACCATTTATAATGGTCGTGATTTGTGTTGTGTACGGCTGTAAAGAGAGGAGTTTCTTTCGTTTTCCGGAAGATGAAACGAAGTAGAAAAACTTATATCTGAGACTCGTTCAGTTATTGTTTCCTTCATTTTTTAGTGCAGAGTGATATACAGGCCGTATATTTGAAAGTGAGACATATTCATCATATACACGTCACAGTAAATCATGTTACAACTTAACATAGACTAAAATAAAATTAGGATATGGGATAGAACAAAAAATAAATCAACAAATGTGTTTTGAAGTGTACATAGGAATAAACCGTTTCCCTTTACGCGTGATTTCGAGGACAATGGGAATACTACCAAGCGAGCGCCGAGTGAGACAGCAACAATAACAATGATTTCACCTTTACGTTTTAGCTTATGCTAATTATTTTTTACTCGAACTATCATCGAAATGTTTTCCGTACTAAAAAAGAAACTTTATGATTTAGTAACTAGTTATCATTTAATAAGAATTGAGGTTTTTGGCGTAGTTAAGAATGTGAAGTCAAATTATTTACAATGATTGATTTTTTTAGTTATTTACAGTTTATTTACACTTACTTGGTACGGAGCAAGTGTTCAAAATGTCCACCGTTTTCCACAATGCATAGTCTAGCACGGCATAGTAAATTTTGTTTTAAATTGTACAACACAAACACATTTTGTCTCACAGTATAAAATGCTGAGATAATCCTCTCACGCAACACTTCGACACTGTTCACCTCCTCCGCGTAAACTCCGATTTGGGAATATTTCAATAGCTTGCCTTACCCTATAACCACTTATTGCGTAAAGTCGCACCATCTCAGTCAATTCGACGTTAGAATAAATATCCATTTTGTGGCGATCGGGCGAGCGGAAGTACAAATAATTTACGTGTCTTCGTTAGATCAAGGTCGCGCGTGCACTGAGCAATTTCGCGAATGCGCCCGCGCCCCCACCCCGACCTGTGCTTTGTTTTTCGCCGCCGTACCGCCACCCGCCGCCGCTGCGTCGGAGCAATAATAGTGATGTGCATAGATTTCGACAACTAATGTTGTTCTCAAGTAGTAGTCGATAAAAAAAAATCAAAATTTTTTTGTGAAGTTTCAGTTCATTATTTCTTTGGGTTCAGAATCAAGAATATAACGCACTTTATAAGTATGTCCCACTTTCAAATATACAGCCTGTATAATACAAATTTATTATATCAATATAATGAGACGCCATAAGTTCGTGACCTAGTAGACAAGGGTTCTCGAATGTTCAATTTGTATTGCCGATAAATATTATGTAGTGAATATGCCTAATTATTAACTAGGTAACCTTGGATACGCAATTTCAAATAAGAACTATAACAATAAGAATAAGAACTATAAAAAAATATAACATATTAAGTGCTTTTAATATATTTTTTAAATAAATCTTCAATATTATTCTAGTTACAGAATTAATGAAAAACATAATATTATATTAATATAAATACCTAATGAACATGTGTAATTAACGCACACACTCAACATAGCCCCGCACTAGGGAAACCCTGTGTCGCTGGTGCCATACACACACACTTAGACAACCACAAATTACACCCAAACTCACGAGAGAAATAAATGTAGGCCATACACATATTTCTTCCGGCCCGGGAATCGAACCTGGGACCTCTGCGTGGCAGTCCGGCATGGTAACCATTCGGCCACAGAGGCAGTTACGATTCTATTAATAGAATTATAGATAACAGGTTCGCGTTAGAATTTCCGCTCTAATCACATAACGCAATAATAGTACGAGAAAGTGATGGGTAACTCTGCCACTTCACGCACACATTTGCGCCCTTGCTGTATGTAGCAATAGTAGGTAAATAACTTTCGACCTTTGTATGGAGTGTCCGGGGTGTGTTAATAGTCTAGTTCGTAAGCTTGCTCTATATTTACCAAATTTAATACACACTATGAGTTGATCTGAAATGAACGGTAACGCAATCCTGAATTGTTGCAGGGTGGTCACATAAAGATCAACCTGAAGAGCGAGATACCGGTGCAGGTGGACGGCGAGCCGTGGGTGGCGGCGCCTAGCGAAGTCGTTGTGCTCAAATCCGCACTCAAGGTACGTCTTATACATTATACTCGCAGACATCATCCACAACATAAATACACTACATTCAATTTTTGTTTTCACGATGTTTTATCTATAGTCGGGTTTTTAATTGGCGATTGACAAATAAGTTGCCAGTTTTTTGATGAAATAAATATCGAGTCGAATCTGCTTAAAGCATCGACTTGACTGATTTTCGCAGGCAATTTTTTTAATAATTTGTAAGTTATATTTTTTTTTAATTCAAGAATGTTGTAACAGGAAAATGGTACTAAATGTCACAAAAACAAAAATCTTTAACATTTCTTTTTGACTGATTCTATTTCAGTGAGTTAATGGAGAATTGAACCAAACATAGCACTATATAATAAACATGGCAACATTATTATTATTATAAAGTGACATTAATAACAGTCACTTTGTTATCTCTATTTAAAAATCCACTACACGATTACTCTATAGCCTTTTTGCGATATAAGCAAGCATTTGCCAACAATCTCACTGTATGGAACATGACAGTGTGGCCAAAGATAAAACATGTTTGCCTAGACATTGTCTATTCACTCGCCTTCAGTAAGGCCTGAGAACCGGCTCATACTTGACTCTAATACTCAACAAATGATAAATATTTTGAAAAGTTTCTTCAACGTAAAGTTAATAAACATGAAAACAAAATTACATGAATTAAAAGTTAACAAGCCAATTAAATAACTTACAAGAAATTCATATTCCTTTACTTGGAACTAGTTTCATTCATTTCATTTCTATAAGGAACGAAAGGTCTACCCTTCTGTAACATTACATGACATTTTCACTATCTTGTTTAGGATGTTTCATAGTATGTCTGTCTTTTATGAAATGAGTTTTATGAAATATGATTTTAACCATTCTAGTAGAACTTGTTTAAACTGCGGTAGATACCTTTATAGCACTTTTAGACAGCCTTTATTTGAATTCTTGATTTAGAAGACGGGAATTTTGTAAAAAGAGTTGTTACTATGTTTGTTATATATTTTCTGCAGTAAAAGTACGAAAAAAAAAAAAACAAACCATTATTAAAGGAATCTACTCAGACTCTCTATTAGGTTTTCAACGTAATTTAGTTTGTATTAATTATAATAATTTAATATCTATTAATTTGTCAGGTAAAAAGTCGTGTAATTCTAGCTCATAATGAAAACTTAAATTATTAAAGGCTGAAAGTATCATTTATTAACAGAAAAGCTTTAAAATATGTACATTGGCTCCTAAACTTTAAATGACTATAAAATTGTAACTCAAAAATTAGACGAGAACCGATTAAATTATGCCTTTTTATGGGTGCAAGCAAATTTAAACTAAATGCTGTGGTCTTCTATATTAAAAAATTACTCCGCTAGAATAAAGTTTTCCTAGTGTTAACACTAAATCAATTTTTTTGCGACTAAAACCGGCTTTTAACCTGACTAGTTAGATTTTGTAACTCAAGTGTTTTAAACAGTAAATTCGAAGATTATCTAGCATGCTTCCTTATTAATGGTTCTTCGAGCGAGAAGTGTTACAGTCAAGTATTGTATTTAACATATTTAAGTTCCAGTACTTCTAAAAGGAAATAATTTTAATGACGTCATATCAATGCTTAACTGAAACACGTCGCAAAGGAAAGGTAGTTTATAACTATTTTGCATATAATAGGAATTAAATAAGGATTCATTAGAAACCTGACAAAATTTAAAATTCCGTGGTCACGTCGCCCGGGCACCTTTGCACTGTAGAAGATATCACGCCAGCCGCATTTTCACTGCCTCACTTACATGCTTGTAATAATCAAAGAGTTCTGAATAATCGATTTGAAAATTAGATGGCGAGAGTTCCAAAATTCGACAAGTTCATCTTGTAAGATGAAAGATATCGCGAAAATAGTGAAACTTTACTTCTTAACGTAATAATTATTTTATTGAATATCATGTTTTTAATATTGTGGTATTCATATATGAAAATACTCCACTGGTTGGGTGTCATACGAACAAACAGAAAGGAAAATTCCTTCGACCCGGCTACAACCAGCAGCGGCACTATTTGCCAGGCCGGGGCAAGGATTGTGTTGTGTGCGTTTGATAGATCTGCGTGCAATAATAACGTCTTAAAGTAGTTTTAAAGTTTTAGTAAAAAGTAATCTGTAAATAAAGCGAGACTGTCATACGACAATTGCTAAACGGGAAACGTATCAGTGAAAATGCGGCTCACTCCACCCGAACCCCCGCGCGAATCGGAAACTCGCGTCGCGATTGTAGTCCCCGACTCCCCCCACTTCGGCGACGTGGTCACGAGGTTTTCCGATCGGCGAGGGGGAGGGCAGTGCAGGGCGTGGGGCGGAGGGCCAGGGGCTGAGAGTGTGTTTGCGCAGGCGACGATGCTGAAGAAGTCGAAGCGCGGCGCCGCGGGCTCGGCCAACCCCTGAGTCGCGCGCCTCACGCCCCGCGCTCCGCGTTCCGCAGGCCACCATGCTCAAGAAGCGCGGCAAGGTGCGCCGCCGCAACACGGAGCCGAGCGTGCCGCACGCGCAGCCGCCGCCCGGCCCGTCGCGGGCGCCGCCGCCGCCGCCGGAGGACACTTGAATATGGCTCAGCGAGCGCCTCATCTAAATACCGCTCGCGCCCGCCTCGGGCTCAAGGCAGGCGCGCGCGCTACGGGGGTGCTCGCTGCTACAACTATTTACTATTTCGTAGCGCATAGAGTTTATTTCATTACTATATTGAAACATAACAAAAATAAATATGTAAATAAATTATTAAACGGAAATAAAGTAATATATAACTTATAATAAAAATAAATTTATAGTCATTAGTTGTTGTTTTATTTTTAGTCGAACTTATGAGTTTCCGATGTATAAAAAAATAAATATTAAAATATGTACTGTGTGTTTTCTTTGTTGAATCGTTCCCGGGGTGAATATCGTCGTCAATCAATTGTGCGTCCGACTGCCGGGCATGGGCCTCCTGTAAGGAGAGAGAACCTTCTCCGATGTGCGGGTTTCGTCACTACACTTTACTTCACTGTTAGCGAGAGATATTCTGTCGAGTCATATAAATAATCCCAGAATCTTTCAACTGTTATCATGCCAAATTTATTTTCAATAGACTAGATACAATAGATAGATAGAATTCTGTAATATCTAATGTGCACAAAGCAAGTTAAATGTGTTTCACACGGTAGGGTTTTAAAACATTAACAAAACTGCCTCAGTGGGCGAAAGGTTGGTTAACATGTTAGAGGTCCCAGGTTCGATTCACAGGCCGGGAGAAATATTTGTATCTACATTTCTCTCGTGAGTTTCGGTGTAATAACACAGGGTTTCCCTAGTGAGGGGCTGTGACCGTGTGTTATAAAACGTAACTTAGACATTAAAGTCATAAGTACATGCCGTCACGGAGATCCGAACCGTCTAACTTTCAATCGAGAACCAATCGTTCTCTCGCTGAGCTACCATCACTCTTCTCCCTGATAAGTCAAAGTTGTAAGTATGATCAGGTCGCATAGGGACTAAAACGAGTATTTTGTACAATTAGAATTTATTAAAAATACCCATACTTATGACTAGTTCTCTAAGCGGCTAAATAAATAACATTAGTAACAGATATTGAAACATAGTCTCGGCACTGAACGTATTTTAAAAATACTACAAATTCAGTGCCGAGTTCAAAACAAAAGCATTCGAGGCTTCTTGTTTATTAAAATATATTTATCAACAAACAACAACAGAATCGTTTTCACTTTTATTATAACTTGACAACTCAAATGTTATGTTTATAAAACGTAATAAAATTTCTATGTATGTAATATATCAATGGTTAAGTTTGTAAACCTCATAACCTCCATTTTTTTTAAATAATAATAACGCACACACTCAACATAGCCACGCACTAGGGAAACCCTGTGTCGCGGGTGCCATGGACACACACGTAAACAACCACTAATTATACCCAAACTCACGAGATAAATAAAATATAGGTCATACAAATATTTATCTGGAACCTGGGACCTCTGCGTGGCAGTCCGGCATGGTAACCGTTCGGCCACGGAGGTAGTTGCTGTGTGACCCATTAATGTAAACTTCTGAGTAGGCATAAAATACAGAATTACTAGAAATAATTACATGACAGTAATTATGATACCAGGGTCTAGAAATTATATTTTGTCCAAAAACGGATTTACGAGGTTTTTAAATTTAACCGACGATATGACAGAATTCTGAGCGTAAAATGGACATGAGAAGGAATTCTTAAGTTTTCGCGATGGTTGCACATAGGAAATGAAACTATTTTTTTCGGATTGTTATATTAGTTTTTTCAAACAAACCAATGTTACCGTTACAGGGCCAATGGCCACGAGTGACTTTCAGGCAAACCAAATATACGAGAATTGGATCTGAAAAAATTGTTTCATTTCCTATAAGAAGCAATTGTTTTGTACAACTCGATATCAAGTATAGGTAGGTTTCCATCGCATCTCTAAAGACGCAGTTAGAAGTGTTAATACGCATAATTAATAATAATAGTGTCAGCGAACCACACCACTTACCTATCTGAAACAAGGAAATTTCCTGTACTTGTAAGTACCAGAGCAAAGGTATTAAACCCGAACACTCAGATCAGAACTAATTTAGAAAAGTTGAATTCCCAAATTGCTCCTGTCGGGAGTTGAACCTGGGACCTCCTCCTGACTCCTTTTACATTATAAATACATTTTGTCTTTAACAAATTAAATATCGTAAACAATAGAAAATATTATACAAACGATTGAAAGAGGCTAAGCGACAGTTAGTTTGAACATTCGTTATAATTATGTAGTAAAATTTATGGATGATGTTGAAGGGCTATCAAAAATGAACAAAAGGCTTAAGGTGATCGTACACACATCCGCACCGAAAGAATCAATCGCGTCTAGTTTCGTTATTTCTGAACTGTTGTCAAAGCGAACAATATCTGTACATTGTAATGGAAATTGACATGGATTTTATCGATATATTAAAGGAAGATGAAATTTCAACAGTCCCAAAAAACACAGATTGAAAAATTTAATAAACTTAAAGGTTTGTTTGAAAAAACAAATATACGCGATTTAAATCCGGAAAAATAGTTTCATTCCTATGTGTAACAATCGCGAAAACCTAAGAACTCGATAAGATGAAAGATGTGAAATTCGCTAGGATTAATATGGAAAAAATGAACTATTATTAAGTTATAGCAAAAATTCCGACCAAATAAAGAATTAAAAAAAAATTAAAGTACTCTGAATTTAAGGTAAAATATGGTGGCAACACAGTGAAAGTGCCAGGGAATGTAGTCGTATCGCCACATCGTCCGCACCGAATATGATGACATCACCTGAATTCGTCGTGTATTTATGTACCTTCCGAATTCTTCCGGCGATTTGTCCGATTCGACGTGGACGTAAATGTACGATCACCTTTAGGCAGAGATTTGGGCAATGACTGGCCGGTGGTTGCTGCTGACAGAGTGAGTTGGAAGTCAGAGGAAGTGACTTTTATACCCAGCAGTGGGAGTCTACTGCAGGCTACTCAAAAAAGTGTCGCTTAGCCTTTTACCTTTGCAATTGTCGATATTACTTACACACATCTTGTCACACTTATTTGGACCTTATCACTAAAAAAACCAAGCAATATTGTAGTAAAGAAGCAACAAGCGCCACTCATAGCAATAAACCGGTAACTTGCTTTGTACTTCAGTTACAACAGGTATGAAAGTGAAGTTGTCAAGTAATACTAGTATTAAATAATCTTCGAAAAATAGGGTCAGGTTTTTTTTTTTAAATATACATCCTAAGGCAAACAAAGTTACACAACACTGTCTTGTTAATTTCTTACATTATTTTCACTGCATTATACAGGGTTATTAGTAAAGTACTAACAACCTCCCAGGACTATATTACTAACATCATAAACAAGAACTTTTTTTTTCCATGATATTTAACAAAATCAAGTTTTTGTTGTACTATTTGACACTTTTTACATCCATATTTGATAGCACGACTTCCAACCCCGCTCGTGGGTTTTGCATCTCACTGGTATGAAGCGACCCTTTTTTTATATTAAAAATAACTGCGCATTTGACCTCCATATCACCTGATGGAAAGTGCCGATGGAATCGACGACGTAGCATGCACACCTAAATAATACCTATTCACTCTCGCCTTGAAAAGGTCCAAGCTATAGCGTTCGGGGAATAAGTCCGCAGGTAGGGAATTCCACTAGCCGCTTGCCATACAAATGTGGGAACGATACGCTTCGTGCGAATCCGGGGAATACCACAACATAGGGGTGGAACTCCAGCCCACGTCTAGTCCCCCGATGATGGAAAGGGGAAGGCGGAATCAAAAAAAAAAAAAACTTTTTGTACTAAAGTAAAATCTGATGAATTATCAGAAGTCATGGAACAAAAATTGTTGTTGTTGTTGTTGTTGTTACGATGTTAGTATAATGGTTCATAGTTCACATAAATAACATTTTAAAACATTTGCATCTTCGTCATCAACCTATTATACGCTCCACTGTTAGGTGCGGGTCTCCTTTAAGCAGACGGTTTAGGCCATAGTCTGAAACACTGATCTAATGCAAGTTGCGAACCTTATTCGACATGCAGGTACATTGTCTCTTCACCGTTAGAGGGCAGCATAGCTCGAACATTTTGCATATTACAAGAACACATTTACTTTATCAGTAATTTACAGGTAAGTTTTTTGTAGGTACTCAATTTTGGTCACAATTTTTATTATTTAATTACTCGAATTTATCATCGTGAAATATTAAAGGACATTTCTGGGTACCACACTCGAATATTAAATAATACTTCATGATGATATTCTATAAATATTTAAATAAAAAGAAATTATCACCAAAATTGAGTACAAAAAAGACTTACCTGAAAATTAACCTTATATAACAAACACCCTTGAACGGACTTTATAAACTATAATTTACAAAAAATACTTTAAAACGTAGCCTGTTCTTTCAAATGAGTTGCATTTAGAAATTTACTAAAACCAGAATAAACCTTAGTCCTACTAAGCGTAACGCCGAAACTTGCCTACAAGAAAAAATTGCTTAACCTCTGTTGCTTTATAACATGGTCCAATAACTCAAGAGGGATCTCCAGACTACAGACTTACTCTGAAAATGGTCAAAATTATATCGTATGTGTAGATGGTGCAGATCAATAATTAGAAAAAAAATAGATCTGGAAGCAGTTTATATTATGTAAATGGCCGTGAATACCAAATAATTCCTGGCTTGTAATATTGTTAAAATATTGATCATGAGCTAAATTTATGTTCTGAACTTTGACAAATCAATCCCTCCTACGTAAATTATCGTATGTCGAAATTGCCAAGTTAACAGGGGAGCGTTTTAAAGTTTTGAATTTACTGAAATGCACATGACGTTGGCATTTCTCAGTTTTTTTCAGCGAAGCTCCTTACTCACACAGAGTATTATAAAATCCTAGATATCGGTTAAATGAACAACCACAATTTATTTTATCATTTTACAATTTATTTTAGCATTGCTATGCTAAAATCACGTGTTATGCTCTATTCAGTGAATTGAAAACTTTAAAACGCTCCCCTGTAAACTTGCCAATGTCGACATACGATACTTTACGTAGTATGGGTCGAAATATGCGTTTCAATAGATGACAATGTGTGTTACAAAGCAATTTACAAATTAACGCTTCCCAATATGGGTAGATAGCGCTAATCCAAAATAAAGTAGCCGTCA